TACCTATCAATCATTAATAACGTGTTAATCATTAATAATTATTTAATTTGCTAAATGATGGTAAATATAACGCGGCTTCGAACAAAGCGGCTAGTATTGTAAATATCACTCCGCGGTTGAAGAAGAGGTATCTGATTCCAGGTAAAAGGGCTCGGCTCGTAAGGGTCATAACTAATAGTGAGACGACATTTGAATTAATTGCTTGAATAGATAAACGTGTTCGTAGCCATGTGTTTTAAATATGAAATGAGATCACTGCAGTTAATGCAATAAATATCTGTTATTAATTTGGATTTTATGAATATACTTATGAATACCAATGTTAAACTCTAGTGAGAATTAAACTGAAGTACATTAAATTATAAGTATATGGGGTATGGTGCGACTACAAACATTCAAAAAATTCAAAATACATCGACACATGATCTGGTTAGACAAGAATGTATGTATTTAGTTACTTATACGACAACTTAATTATCGACTTTTGTCAAATAGGTCATTGACCCTATATTGGGATTACTGTTCTAGTTATTGAGTTTATTTTTCGTTAACTGGTAACATCAATCTAAGGTGAGTTCGGTCTACGCACTCTTTTCACTATATTCACTCCTAAAATACCTAAGGCGTTCGGGTACGGAAGGAGTTAAAATAAAAGTTCCTCTTTGACCGTTCGGAGATCGTGGAGTGGAGTGTGGATCGGGCATGCGCATAAGGTGATTTAAATCGATAATAAGATAATTGTGACTAATTCTTAAGTAAAAATGCTTTTTATTTGATTCCCGTGCATACCATTAATATGGAAAAAACTTATACGGTTGTTACTAATAAGTACGATTAGGTTTTAAGTATTAGTATGTCACATTGACAACTGACATTGAACTCTGAGAGTAAAAGGAGTAAAGCCATATGCGCACTCCGTTTACGCCTACTTACTCCACTTCACTCTAGAGTGCGCAGCCCGAACCCACCTCTAGTCACGAGCGTATTATTGAAGAATGCCGGACAGTTGCGAGATTAGTGTGCATCCACATTCTCGCAACAGTTAAGTGGTTGTCTTTCCGGTCACGCTGTGGATGCGCGACCACTGGAGGGCGTTCCACCAAGGGACGCAACACCATGGAACTTAGCCGATTAGCGTGAAATAAATGACGATAAATGAGGGGTGAATCAAGGAAATGGAAAGTAGTGGAACCTTAAATGGTGTTACAGGAAGCCACTTTCTGCAGTGCCGACACACTACAGAATGAATAAAGTACAGTGGTGCCTCATGACCAAAATATTGGGGTTCACACTAAGATAATATAGATAGCAGTACATATTTAGGTAACCAAATTTCAGTGATGTAGTTGTGGTAAATCTATATAATACATAATTGCTATTAGTAGATTAAATGGGTCGTTGAATATACTTATAAATTTCAATGCTAAAAATTATGTTGAAAACAGAACAGAATTACATTAATTTATAGGTATACAGGGTATGGTACGAGTATAAAAATAATTCAAAGTGAATAGTAACCTACTACTTTTCTGTTTCATTTGGTAGACAAGTGTTATCGCATAAATACTAGCTAAATACTGGTTGAGTTCTACTTAAATACTACTTGAATTCTATTTGAATACTACTGGAATAATACTTGAATACTACTGGAATACTACTTGAATACGATTTGATGGCTATTTAAAGATCCGTTAAACCAGTTTAAAAACAACCTAACACAGATTGAAGACCTACTAGAAATAGACCTATCTAGAAATACATAAAATGTTATTTTTAGATTATAAAAACGTGTTATTTATGTAAATATAGTTAATTTAAAATATCGCACCCGTTTTTCAATAGTGCCATTCCTTAAAAAATTTAAATTGACTTTGCACAGTATACATTATGAACATGCCTACAATATATAAAAGTGCCACATCAATAGTTCTAATAAATTCCGCGCGTGGCACGATCAACAGTACTGCCATATCACATAACATTTTGTTGTTTTAGGCTTATCTTTGTACATTTCACATTACATTACATGTATCATTATTCAGTAGAAACATCTTTAATCAATATGTATACTGAATTTGGTAAGCACAAGTACTGAAAATGCTGCTCAAAAAATATTACATCCACAATCGTTTTTTGTTTCGCTTCTCCTGTAAAATTAACATTTATGGCACTATTGAATCATGGGTGCGATATGTGTATTGTGTAATAAATATATTATGGGCTAATATAAAAGAGTTAAATGAGTATGAATGTTAACACCCAAAAACTCTAATGGAGGAATAAAATTAAATTTTTCTAAAAAAAGGAATTTTTTAAAAACAACACATACATTAACCTAAATAGTTATGTTATTGGTATAATATTACATAAAATAATATATATTTTTTTTTTTTAAGAATTTTCAGGGAAATAATGTCTTGGGTATACCATCTTTTTTCATTTTGTAATGGTAATTTCTATATATCTACTTTATTATATAATGTAATTATATTGTATCTACCTCACACAATAAGTAAAAGATTTTAATAAATAATAATAATACTTTTGCTAATGGAATCTGTATTTTAATTTTATTTAATTTAGACAAAAAAACATTCTCAAAAAAAAATTAAATAACTAGTGGATTCAAGAAAACACCACAAACATACAGAAAAAATGCAATATCTTTGAGACAGGATTAGGCCTTTCATATATAGTCAAATACTTGACTACGACTGGTCAATGCCTAAATATGGAAGCATCTTCATAATATGGGGCTCTCAGTATACACATTTTGCAAGGAATACGAACGAGAAGATGAGACCATCGAGCATGTCACCCTACGATTTATTAAAAGATTTGTATTCAGCGAATATCGGCTAACACCGACCGATATGAAAGAAGCATCTCTTGGCGGCGTTGTCACCTACATTAAATCTGTAGGCTGGCTCACGAGCTTGGTGCTTATCATCTTAGAAGGATGCGCAATGAGCCTTAGTGAGGTTTAAGTGTCATGAGACCATCGAGCATGTCAACCTACGATTTATTAAAAGATTTGTATTCAGCGAATATAGGCTAACACCGAGCGATATGAAAGAAGCATCTCTTGGCGGCGTTGTCACCTACATTAAATCTGTAGGCTGGCTCACGAGCTTGGTGCTTATCATCTTAGAAGGATGCGCAATGAGCCCTAGTGAGATTTAAGTGTCATGAGGTAACTCACCCTCCATGCGTTACATGTGCCTTTCATACATAAAATACACCTAAAAATGTCAAATAACTGACATATAAAACTCAAAAAAGGCTAAAAATAATTCATTTCAATACAAAATACACACAAAGATGGAAAATAGCATCAGAATAATTACAATATCTTTCTTATGTGAACTACACCAAAAATTTAAATTTAAAACAAAAAAAATAAAACGCAGACACATTGGCACACAATGTAATGAACCAAACTATCTATTATGTTTGTCTTTAGTGGAGATCTACGTATAATACGCAAACCTTGAAGTCGGGTAAAAAAAAAGCCGGGTCGTCTAGGTATCTACTTGGGCTGTGATTAGTAGAAATATGTATATTTTATGGTCGTCATCTATAACGAAGTTTAGGCAGTTGTGCTTTTGTCCTTCTAAAGTAGAGTGATGAGATTTAGTAGAACCCTGCT